CTTGTGTAGCTTTGTGCATAATTAAAAACAAACAAACAATCACTTGATATAAATATTCTTAAAAAACTCTAAAAATGCATTGGTTTATAAACACTCAGCTACCTTAGAAATGCGAGTTACTAACAGCCGGTCTGGGTTGGCCTGATGATTCTAGCTCTCCACTCGAAGCCCGTCACCGAATATGCTCACCCTTTCAGTTATGTGACGGTTAATCTTACTATTTGTTGGAAAAAAAGGAGCCCAAGAGTTGGCGGTGGGTGATGTTGACTAGCTACTGTTCATATATGTTATAATTTCAAAATTATGGACGCCTAGCGCAGATAAGCCTTCGAGTAGTTTTGTGGAAAATTCAACCATCAAACAAACGATAATAACAGTTGTGGACGAATACTTAAACGTCAGTGGACAAAAAAATCACGGGCACTTACTTCGGAGTAATTCGGGTTTCTAATAGTTCTAGTCCTGCTGAAGAGTAGATTCAGTCAGAATTACCTTAGGTAAGTTACTTTCGTTTCTCACACCTAGCTTAAAGCTTACCTCAGTTCATTTATTCTGCTGTTACATTTATTTATTTTTTTTACACAGAAGAGGTAACAAACAATAACTAAACCTAGATCGTATAATATACCAATTAAAAATACATTTGTTTCATTTGACTATTTTTATTTTACTAAACGTTTCTGTTTGTCAAAGTTACTCCGTTTGCTAAACGTTTCTGTATGTCAAAGTTACTCCGCCATTTATAACTCTGCTTGGCATGGCCTGATGGTTAGGGCACTCATCCCGCAATCTCCGAACCGCGTTTTCGAATCCTGTCACCGAACATTCTCGCCCTTTCAGCCGTGAGATTGTTATTATGTGACTGTCAATCCTACTATTCGTTGGCAGTGGGTCGTTTTAGTCTATCTCTTCTAAATTAAGGATGACTATTGCAGATAAGCCCTCGAATAGCTTTGTGCAAAATTTAACAAACAAAAAACAATTCATAAATCAGTGTCTCTACTTCAAAAACTTTGAGGGAGAAGAAATCACGCTTAAGTAATTATTATTACTTGTTTCAGAAATTTTACACTAAACTATACAAAGTGCTATATACGCATAGCCGTCCTTAAATTTGAACTAACAGAGGGCTGATCAACAGCACATACACCCATCTCTTGGGCTTTCTCGTCTGACCTCCCCTCTTATAAGGGGCACCACAGGATCATCTCTCCCAGAATGAACTAGTCACCCACGTTACTTGGTCATTCCACAAGTAAAAATAGGGAGGACACAGCCTCCAGGCATTGCTAAATTTCTACATAGTCGATCTGCTTAGAGAAACTACATGATACCAAACCACTAGTTTTCCAGTGACACTTTCATGGGAGTGTTCAGCAACACCAAAGCAGATCGACCTATGACAACGTATAAATAAGACACAACAAGTTATTCATGATACAAAACTGTTTTTTTCTATGTTTTGAGCTTACGTGCATGTCCTAGTGCGTTTGAGAATTTGTTGTGAGCCTGTCTAAAAGGTTTGCTTGTTTATTTGTAATTAAGCACAAAGCTACACAATGGGCTATCTGTGCTCTGCACACCACGGGTATCGAAACCCGGATTCTAGCGTTGTAAGTCCGCAGACAAGTTTGTTTGAAGTTAACCACAAAGCTACACAATTGGCTATCTGTGATCTGTCCACCAGGGGTATCGAAACCCGGATTCTAGCGTTGTAAGTCCGCAGACAAG